TTAGGGTTTTATAGGGATGCTATTGAGTGACACATTCTTGGCTAATAATGACTTGATATCTGTATTGCTTAGGGATTTATACGGATGCTATTGGGTCACACATTCTTGGCTAATGACAACTCGATATCTGTATTTAGGGTTTTATGGGGATGCTGTCAAAGAGTACAAACAAGCTCTCCAAGTCGCAGAGGCAAGGGAGGACACCATTGGTAGTGCTGTAGCGCACAGGATGGTTGGAGAATGTCTCTGTGCTCTAGGGAAATACAAAGATGCTTTATTCCATCAAAACCTTCATCTTCAGGTAGATTTACCATATAGCCTTTTTCATGACTTCTTAATGTAGACGTTGCAAAGCCTGGTGGGATCAATTTGCTGACAAACTTTTTAAACAATTAGGCTTTGGTTACGAGGAAAACAAGATTGATATCAGTCGTTAACCTTAGTTTTTCCACAAATTGAAAACAGCAGAAAAACAAAACATTGGTGCAATATAATTGCATGTGCACTTGGCTTGGCTTGTCTTCATTTCAATCCCATAAAATACTATTTATCTGGTGGTGCTTGATGAACCTAAGGGCATACATGTATACAGTCAATTCAAAAAATGTTGTCGTCAACCCACTCAGGCCTACGCGACTGGACCGAAAGGAACTCCGGGTAGCAATCATTGAAGCTAAGTTGACTCCATAATTTTATCTGACTAGTTATGCCTGGTTTACAGCACGAGCCCTTGTAGGTGAGCGGGAAATTTTGAAGGAGACTTTTTTTAATGCCTTCGTATTTTCGGGATTTTGAACTGAATTATAACTACTTTGTTTTTCTTTCCCTAAACCCGGAGACATGCATTTGATGGATTGTTTCTCGCCATTATTACCTTATTACTAGCAAGAACAATTTATTCAGAACGAATATTTAACTGCTTCAGTGATTTTTACCCACATTTGCTTTTGGTCCAGTCGCGTAGGCTTGAGCCGGTTGACGACAAAGTTTTTTGAATTGACTGTATGTACATCTGGTAACCAGTCATTTCGCCCACGGACCATTTCGCCCACGCCAATTCGCCCACGCATAAAATCATTGATCATGCGTTTGCCAATTCGCCCACGTGTAGAATCACTTTAAGAAATATGTTACCATGACTTAAAAAAAAGTAGTTCGTGATTTACCAACCGGTACCTACCAACCCTACTTGACGCTTAAGCTCAAGACTTCAAAACGCAAACTTTCGAACGCGGTCGTTTCGCTACCACGCACTTTCGCTACCRTCGGTTCGCTACCACCCAGAGTCCTTTCGCTACCATCATGAAGTCCTTTCGCTACCATAGGAAATTACCAAAACAAAACTTCGATGAGACTTGTTAAAAATAAACATAGCCTCTTGAAAAACATTTGTAAATGATTTTGAAGCATATTTGGAGCGATCATTTCACGATACAATCAGTGAAAGTAGAGATCTAAACGCGACCAAGGACAGCGTTCACTTAGCTGCCATATCGAGTCCGTTTCAAACCAACTTATGACTCGGATGACTTTATTTCCCTATTTCCCTATACTCTAATCTATGAAATGTGTGTTTTGGGTAGCTTTATCATTCTTTATCAATTTTTAACTTGCCAAAGTTTGAGAAAAATACAAAATACCTTATATTGTTTTCGTGTAATCAACAAGCTTTTCCTAGTCGTTTACTGAAACTTTCTTTTCTTGAAATCCATTAGACTTTATTATTTGCACTAAAAAACTAAGACGAAATGATCTAGTGACTTTATCTGGAATAAATCTCTACTTTCACTGATCGTATCGTGAAATGATCGCTSCAAATATGCTTCAAAACCATTTACAAATGTCTTTCAAGAGGCTATGTTTCTTTTTAACAAGTCTCATCGAAGTTCTGTTTTGGTAATTTCCAATGGTAGCGATGATTTTATGCGTGGGCGAATTGGTGTGGGCGAAATGGTCCGTGGGCGAAATGACTGTAAACCGTACATCTAGACAGCTAGTCAGAGTTGGGATAGTCCCTAACATACAGTAGCCTTACTTTGTGAACACACTAACCAGGACCACTTGAATAAAACTGACCAATCAGATAACAGTAAACTAGACAGAGATTGAACTGATAACAGGGTAAGCCAATGAGATGGACAGGTCTTGTTGATATGGGATTAATTACACAGCTATGTAATTAATAGGTAATGGGATTTCATGCTCCCCAATCAAGAAATAATTAAACTCGAAAAATTCCTCTGGCTGCCAAATTTGGCCTCATCCAATTTTGTCAGTCCTTGGAATTTTCCTCATCCAATTATTTCTTAATTGGACAGCGTGGAGTCCTATTACATATACTAATTTTAAAGCTTAATAACCAGAGAATACTCCTGCCTTTTTGATATCAAATATATTTCTTGAATTGTGTAGCTCCAAAAATTATCCATATCCCCCTCATAGAGGATTTTTTCAAAGACACCCCCCTTACCCACCGGAAATTCCAATTWTCTTCCATACAAACTCTGTAATTTTTGTTCTTTCTCTGACCCCCCTACTCTTAGGAAATTCCAAATTCCTCTGTGGGGTGGGTATGTATGATTTCTGGAACTACACATTTTCTGAAACTTTGTTTCTACAGTTGTTGTTGATTTCRTTCACTCATTTCTTTGGRAATATACTCTGCAAATGTTTTTTTTGAAGCTACGTTTCGACCATACTTCATTGGTCTTCTTCAGGATCTGGTGTTCTTGAATAATTTTTCCAGTACTGCTTTCCATGGTTAAAGATTCACGTTTATTCATTTTATTTTTCCACTTGATTTCAAAGCAAAACTACTCTCAAATGCACAGAAAGCATCGC